CCTTGCAGATACCAAAAATCTGAGGATGCCCAAATCCTTAAACGGCATAGTATTTGCAGATAACCTAGGCATGTCTTCCCCTATGCAGCACTCTAAATTGTCTCTGGAGTACTTGCGATACCTAAGACAATGAAAATGCTATGTAAGTAGTTGTTATACTGTACTTTTAAAAATTTGTATTGTCATTATTATTGTATTGTTATTTTTATCATTTTATTTTTCTCTAAATATTTTTGATCCACAGTTGGTTGAATCTGCTGATGTGGAACCTGCAGATACGGAGGCCTGGCTGCATGTACATCCTGGCTTTCTCAGACTTACTATACCTGGATCTATGCCAGGGATTCTCAATGTGGGTACTATTAACCTTTTGGGAGGGATCATTCTTTGTTGTGGGAGGCTGTCCTGTACTTTGTAGGATGTTTAGCAGCATCCAAGGCCCCTATCCACTGGACACCAGAGCCACTCCTCAGCCCTGCCAGTTGTGACAATAAAAATGTCTCCTGATACTGTCCCTGGGGGCAAAATTGCCCCTGGTTGATAACTACTGATCTGTTATAGTTTGCTGGATTTTGTTGAGAAGTAAGTGGTGAAAGCATATGATCAACTGAGATAGTTTCAATTAAAGGCCAGTTTGAGAAAGTCTAGGATAGATGGATTCATTTTTCATTGAAAATTTGCATGCTGCTCCACATACCATATTTTACTCTTGTTTTATTCAGACTTGGTAAATCTCACAATCCTTGTGTGCTACACTGAGAACAGAGGTAGAGCCTGTCTGTTCAGGTGTTCTGATTTGCCAAGACTCAGATGATGCTCTCTCTGACCCTAGCAGAATGGCAGCTTCTTAACCTTGTGTGATGGCTTAGTTACCAGTTTGGATGTGTTTGTGGATCCAGGGAAGCACTTTACTAAGGTCCGTGAAGATCCCAGGGGATCCTTGATCATTTTTCCTCACGTTGTTTCTCCAGCCTCGACCACAGCCCAAACCCCAGGAAGTCACACCAGCCAGAGTCCAGGCCCCCTTTTTATTCCGGCACATGAGTGAACCTCCTGAATCTCCCTGCAGAGGGAAAAAGCCTCTGTTAGCACCACTGTCAGTGTCTATGCCCCAAAGTGCTCACTTTTTCCTCACAACGATGCTGGAGGAGGATCAATGTCATTTCTTCACTTCTAATAATTTAGACTCAGGGTCCTGTATCTGAAGATCCCAGCACAATTCCCATATGATCCTCAAATATCACTGGAACCCAACAATCCCACCTCCCTTTTCCTCATGGATGGCTTTCATCAAAGTAGCAGACTTTCTTCTTTCTCTTATCTCACGCTGCAGACTCAGAGAAGTCTTGGCCAGCAGTGAGACTGACTTCAGGCCTTGGTTAGTAGGAAGAATGGAGGCAAAGTGTAAAGTTTCCAACGTCCACAAACTGGAAACTTCTAAATAGAAAAGAGTCAGCCATCCTTCAGGAATGGGAGAACCCCGAGTTCATTCTTGGCATTATCTCTGTTATTTGGTCTTTTGGAAAAAGCAGAAGACTTCTTTTAAATCACACTTCCTGCTAAAAACAGATTGTTTCCACTGTCCCTTTATTTTGACCTAACCTCCCTTGGTACTCCTAACCCTTCTTTCCAGATTCCTGCCTTACCTGGGATCAGTCTTCCTGCAGCCTGATTAGGGAAATGGTTTGGATCTACCATTTTTCTCGTACTCTTAACTATTTGACCCCTATAGCTTCTTCAAGACTATTCTTTATTCTACCTCTCCAATATACTTTCTAATTAAATTAAATTTCACTGAAATTTAAGAAAACTAGACGAAAACAAAACCAAGGGAAGCCTTGCCTGGGGCCTGACAGCCCCGCAGCTCCCACCCACCTGACATGCGTCTCTCCCTCCATCAGGAAAGCCTGTGCAAAGAAAGGTCTTCCCACTGATGGGCCTCTTTAGTGTTAACAGAGCTGCCACACACTCTTCCCAGGTCAAAATAGGCAGATTCACTTCCTGCAAGACTTGTGAGAGGACGCCATCTGAAAAACATAGAGATGGAAGCCCCAGCAGGAACTCTTTCACCCTTTCTGAGTTGAAGATGCATCATTTGTGTTTGTGTCACTTGGAAAGACTTGAATTTCTAAGTACAATGTGGCATTCTCTGTCTTTAAAAATGTATGCACAACTGTCTTTAAAAAATTGATTTAAAATTCCATTTTCTGATTACCCATCAGAAAGTTCTGACCTCTGCCTAAGAGGAATGGCACACAAGTTCTTACCTTCAGTTAAGCGGCCCCAGCCTGCAGTTGTACAAGTAAAACCAGCCTTAAATTGCTCCCGCAGCTCTGGAAGACATATGGGTCCCACAAAATGGTCTGAAGAAAAGAGCAAGGTAGGGCTTGTCTTATTCATGGAGGAGAGGACACTATAAAGCCACTTACCAGTTGGTATCCAGGTGGTCCCCTAAAGACCTCATAAGAGTTGTGATAGCTTTGCCTGGCACCTCCAGGGGTTACTTGTCAGATCAAGAAAACCCTCTCCTGACTCCATGTAATGCTATCTCCAGAACCACAAGCAAAAAGAGTTTCAGGTAGGACCCCCAAGCCCAAATCCCTGTCTCAAAGTGCATGACCCAGAACATATACCGCAGAAAATGTGCTATGGCACAGAGGTTATAGAGAATTTGGGGTAGACAATTCAACACGATCCTCAAATGTTTACCAAATTGGAAGGCTCCAGCCATCTTTAAAAGGGCAATATCATAGTCCATTGGTTTCTTGGTGGAGAAATGTGGATGTATGATGACAGTTTCAATAGTGAGAGTTTGCTCTCCCGGCTCTATCTGGCTTAAGTCATATTCTCCAGCAGTAACATTCAAAGTTGACACAATGTTTCTATGGAAAGCAAACAGTAAAATGAATGAATTTCATTGTGCTTCTGAATACAGTTGCAATGGTTGACACACTGGCTTCTTTAAAATGATATGGATAAAAAATATGGGGTGTGAGGCTGCTGAGCAGAGAAAGTGAGAATAATTCCAGCACAGTTAGAAAAAAATTCAGAGATTCCAACTTCCAGTAGAGGACTAGTGAAGAGTGGGTTCATAGAGAGCCAAGGATATGATGAATTTAAAACTTTGCAATGTTATTTGAAATTATCTAGAGAGGCACATACATTGTAGTTCAGGTCTCTACAGCTATAGGGGAGTTTATTCAGCTACCCTGGGAGGTTGACCTGACCTAATATCAGTGAGATCCTTTTGGAATGATTTGTGATTCCCAGTAAGCATGCTACTTCAATGTCAGAGATCCTATGCTTAGTGTATATTATAAAGCACAAACTGTGTTATAACTAACTAATGTTATCTGAAAGGAACTTGGTGGGATGCATTAAGATAGATAGAGACTTCAGCCTGCCATCGTTTGAGACCCTTCATTCCCAGAAGTGATGCTTCTATACAAAATTGAAGAAGGCATGTTTTCTCTGGGTATACTTCCCTGACTCTTGGCCAAATTAGGTACCTAACTTAACACATAATGTCTCTCTTACCTACCACTTGTCACATCGCTGTGAGATGATCGGTTGACTCTTTTTAAAAGAAAAGTCAAGTCTCTGGGGGCAGAAATCATGTCTTAGTCATTTTGGTATCTTTGGTATCTAGCACAAAGTAAACATCCAGGAAATGTTTGCAGACTTGAAATGAAAGAATGACTATATGGGAACATGATCTTGATTACAGCCTAGTACATGCCCAGAACATAGCCAATAATAGGATATTTGGATAACACAAGAAAGTGGGTAAAGGGAAGTTGTTGGGTTGAATCCCAGAGAGGCAGGATCAATGGGAAAGAAGACAGGGAGCCTACTTTCTATTTTACTGGACCCCCTTTGTTTTCTTTTATCCATTTCTTCAGATGCGTAATGAACTAGATATTTTTTCACTGAAATTTAAGAAAACTAGAAGAGAACTCTCACAAATCCTTCTTTATAATGCTCTTTTTTCTGATTTGGATACTATTATTAACTTCCAGTTATTTTAAGTAAAAACGAATTTTGCCTCTGAAAAGAATATGTGTCATTGACCAAGTGCCACCTGACAATGTCACCCAGCCCCATTTGTGTCATGCAATTAGGATGTTCCTCTATTAAAGCAATACTCACCCATCACACAGGTCCATGTCTTAACAGAGCTATTGCTGATAATTCCAAAGGAGAGGAAATGGTGGTCTGATCTTCACCCATGGGCTAGGCCTTTCTTACCTGTTTGTAACGCAGTGAGCCGCCGTGATCACCCACTGTGGCGAGACTATGCTTCCTCCACAAATATGCTTCTGTCTTTGTTTCAGAGACACCTAAAATGCAAATACCTTAAATGAAAGCAAGTTCATGCTCTGGGATCCCCCTAAACATGGTGATGAAGCCTATTCTCAAAACCAGACTCAGATATCTCACTCGTAAATATCAAGAATCATGAACTGTGAGAAGATAAAGTTCACACACTACCGCTCAGAAAGAAGAGTGGTGCTGGCAACCCTGGTCTAGATGAGAGGTAGTTAATTTGAGATGATTGGCTGTAAGTATGTGTCAACAGAGGTAGTAGTTAGAAGTGTTGGGATGTATTTACTTATTTTTATAACACTGTTGACGCAGACCTGTTGCTCTAACAATATGAACAGTGTCTGTGAATGAAGACAAAAGAGTATAAGATATAGCAGAGTCTAGCTGAAGAGGTTTGGAAGAAAGGCAAGGTGAGGGCTGGGGAGCCTTTCAACACATGCTCCAATTTCTCTAAGCCTCTTAGGAAAATTGTTTGGATCTACCACTTTTCTCATACTCCTAACTCTTTGACTCCTATAGCTTCTTCAAGCCTCTTCTTTATCCTACCGCTCCAATATACATTCTAATTTTTGCTTATCCTATTTGCGATATTTGACTTGATTCTAAAATGATTTACTATATACAAGTAAATGCTTTTTCTTATGACATTCATCACATGCCATGATGACTATTCTGTGTCTTTCAACCCAACTAGGCTGTAGGCTCCTCAAAGATATAAACTTAACCTTAGAAATATCTATAACCATAAAATCTAGCACAGTTCCTGATGCATAGAAGTCCTTGAGACTCACTTGCCAGGGATAGGAACCCTTCTCCACTTGGCTTCCTCCAAGAATGCGACTGAAAATGTTAAAATAATTCCAAGGCTGTACCTTAACCAGACTCCGCCCACAACTGGGAGCTGAGAAAAAAATGAAACAAACGTTAAATGATTAGATAGCTTCTAGGATTGAGGTAATATCTTCACTATTTCACCCATGAAACTGAGTCTGAGACTATAGTGTATGGTGCCCAGCACACAGTCAGATATCAATAAATCTTTATTGGATTTAATTCTTTTGAGGAATGGAAAGTGACAGGTTATTTAAGGAGAGTGGAGTGAAGTGTCCTGATTCACAAGTCGGTACTTGGATAGAGGTTTGCTAAGTAATAGAAGAAAAACCTCTTTTATGTAAAATATTTTATCCCTGAAAAAGTTGTTTTTATTTCTTTGCCCTCAATGGGTTTTCTGACTCCTCAGCCAAGGGATAGGCTAGATTAAGGATGTTTACCACCACCTGGTAACTCAAGGATGGCACATCTTCTGTCCCTCCTGTAGGTCATCCTTTTCCATATTTCGAAGGAGGATTAGAACTAGCCTTGCCTCATAATCACCATGCTTCACTGCCTACCTAAGTTCTGTAATTCTTATTCCTAATGGGAAAGAAGACAGGGAGCCTACTTTCTATTTTACTGGACCCCCTTTGTTTTCTTTTATCCATTTCTTCAGATGCATAATGAACTAGATATTTTTTCACTGAAATTTAAGAAAACTAGAAGAGAACTCTCACAAATCCTTCTTTATAATGCTCTTTTTTCTGATTTGGATACTATTATTAACTTCCAGTTATTTTAAGTAAAAACGAATTTTGCCTCTGAAAAGAATATGTGTCATTGACCAAGTGCCACCTGACAATGTCACCCAGCCCCATTTGTGTCATGCAATTAGGATGTTCCTCTATTAAAGCAATACTCACCCATCACACAGGTCCATGTCTTAACAGAGCTATTGCTGATAATTCCAAAGGAGAGGAAATGGTGGTCTGATCTTCACCCATGGGCTAGGCCTTTCTTACCTGTTTGTAACGCAGTGAGCCGCCGTGATCACCCACTGTGGCGAGACTATGCTTCCTCCACAAATATGCTTCTGTCTTTGTTTTAGAGACACCTAAAATGCAAATACCTTAAATGAAAGCAAGTTCATGCTCTGGGACCCCCCTAAACATGGTGATGAAGCCTATTCTCAAAACCAGACTCAGATATCTCACTCGTAAATATCAAGAATCATGAACTGTGAGAAGATAAAGTTCACACACTACCGCTCAGAAAGAAGAGTGGTGCTGGCAACCCTGGTCTAGATGAGAGGTAGTTAATTTGAGATGACTGGCTGTAAGTATGTGTCAACAGAGGTAGTAGTTAGAAGTGTTGGGATGTATTTACTTATTTTTATAACACTGTTGACGCAGACCTGTTGCTCTAACAATATGAACAGTGTCTGTGAATGAAGACAAAAGAGTATAAGATATAGCAGTGTCTAGCTGAAGAGGTTTGGAAGAAAGGCAAGGTGAGGGCTGGGGAGCCTTTCAACACATGCTCCAATTTCTCTAAGCCTCTTAGGAAAATTGTTTGGATCTACCACTTTTCTCATACTCCTAACTCTTTGACTCCTATAGCTTCTTCAAGCCTCTTCTTTATCCTACCGCTCCAATATACATTCTAATTTTTGCTTATCCTATTTGCGATATTTGACTTGATTCTAAAACGATTTACTATATACAAGTAAATACTTTTTCTTATGACATTCATCACATGCCATGATGACTATTCTGTGTCTTTCAACCCAACTAGGCTGTAGGCTCCTCAAAGATATAAACTTAACCTTAGAAATATCTATAACCATAAAATCTAGCACAGTTCCTGATGCATAGAAGTCCTTGAGACTCACTTGCCAGGGATAGGAACCCTTCTCCACTTGGCTTCCTCCAAGAATGCGACTGAAAATGTTAAAATAATTCCAAGGCTGTACCTTAACCAGACTCCGCCCACAACTGGGAGCTAAGAAAAAAATGAAACAAACGTTAAATGATTAGATAGCTTCTAGGATTGAGGTAATATCTTCACTATTTCACCCATGAAACTGAGTCTGAGACTATAGTGTATGGTGCCCAGCACACAGTCAGATATCAATAAATCTTTATTGGATTTAATTCTTTTGAGGAATGGAAAGTGACAGGTTATTTAAGAAGAGTGGAGTGAAGTGTCCTGATTCACAAGTCGGTACTTGGATAGAGGTTTGCTAAGTAATAGAAGAAAAACCTCTTTTCTCTTTATGTAAAATATTTTATCCCTGAAAAAGTTGTTTTTATTTCTTTGCCCTCAATGGGTTTTCTGACTCCTCAGCCAAGGGATAGGCTAGATTAAGGATGTTTATCACCACCTGGTAACTCAAGGATGGCACATCTTCTGTCCCTCCTGGAGGTCATCCTTTTCCATATTTCGAAGGAGGATTAGAACTAGCCTTGCCTCATAATCACCATGCTTCACTGCCTACCTAAGTTCTGTAATTCTTATTCCTAAGCTTGCAGATCACCTCAACTAGGAAGTCTTCCTTGATTTCCTCAAAGTGGGGTTGCCTCTCCCCTGTGTTCTGTAGCACACTTTCTTCACCCCTTTTATAGTTCTTGTCATGCAGAATTGTGATAATGAATTATTTGCCTCCATCATTGGACGATGAACTACTCGAGGGAAAAAAAATTGCCTTATTCACCTCTGCATTTCTAAGGTTTAGCTTAATTCTTGGCATAAGTAAGCACTTAGAAACACTGCGTGGACGAACAAATGATTTTTCTTGAGAACACATCCTTAAGAGCATAGCTATTTAGATCAACATGTTAAAGTATTCAAAGCTCTCTCATACAGCTTCTCATTTAATGCCACTCTATGCCTATAAATGAAACACTGTTATCCCCACATTGCAGATGAGAAAACTAACAATCAAGGAGATGCACAGCTGAATAATGGCAGAGCATGAATGTAACAATAAGTGTTTTGATCCTGAACCCAATGCCAGGATGACATTGGATCAAAAGCTTATTTTCTAACTGTTTCAGTCAAATGAGTCATAAATACTTTAAATACAAAATTTACAATTTCCCGAATTCACTAAAGTCAAGTCAGAAAACATGTTGATTCTCAGGGCTGGCACAAGTCTGACCAAGGAGAAGTCTGCCAAGAACTGTTTTCAGCTTAAGTTAGTTGAAAGGGAAAAAAAGACCATTTACAATATACTACAGTGAACATACTTCATATTTCTCAGCAAGATGATTTTGCAAAAGATTAAAAATGCTTCCAAATCCATGCTGATTTCCAGACTTTGCTCTATGAATGAAGATGGGATTATGTAATGGGTCCAAGTAAGTGAACAATCTCAGTTCACTTAGGGAAACTAAGTGAAGAAAACAGGGATTGTTCACTTAATTGGATACATTAGTTGCATTCTATAAATGTTTCACCCTGTGTCCTATGCTGATTGCAGGAGATAAGTCCGAAATAATTGTTTAAAAACAATTAGATAACCAAAATATATTTGCTTCTCCTATTTTCCCAAAGAAACATGGAGTGGAGTTGTGATGTCCATTGTCATCAAAGGTTCAGATAAAGGTAATTATAGAGTTCATTTGAAACTTACCTTTGGGGAGCAAAAGAGTTGCAGATTTACCTTGTTTGAAAAAGACTATTCCTAGTAGTAAAATCAGCTTGTTCCTGCTTATAAGCATTTTGAGACTCACAGTTTTCCCCTGAAATTTTAGAGAGACGACAGCAAAGAAAAATAGGAAGCCTTGGGAGAACAGCAATAAGCCAATTTAAAACAAGTTTATTCATTAACCAAGACTTGGTATATCAAGCATGTCCATCTGATGTTTCTGAATGTAGTGTTTCGCAAAGATCTTTTGCAAGACGTGGAGAAACAACCACAGAAGCAAAGTCTTGATCAAACAATATTACATATCCTATTACACCTACATCAATTAGTTGATTCCTCCAGAGTGTATCTGGCTAGCAAAGTGGTTAGCATGTAAGGTTTGCATTTGCAAACATTACTTGCTCCTTTGTAGAGCTTACTACTTTCTATAAAAGGATTGACTATCAAAGTTGTCCTTGTTTACAAGGGTACACGTCCCTACTTTTTTGCAAACGACCCATCCAAGTGTATATAATTTTTTTTGGTTAGAGTCGGAGTTTCATCATGTTGCCCAGGCTCATCTCAAATTCCTGGGCTCAAGGGATCTGCCTGCCTCATCCTCCCAAAGGGCTGGGATTACAAGTGTGAGCCACCACGCCCTGCCAATATTCTAAAATATTTTTATTTATCTTATTTTGCAAATGTAACTATGCGATTATTATAAACATATGTTGGTGAAGGAGAGAAGTGGAAAGATACTTGGGTGTCACACTCAGGAAGCCCTGCTATTAGAAAGTCATCTAGGATACTGTCCATTGGGGCATTTGTGACTCTGCATTCCCCTATCATTTTTGTATGTGTAGAAGGGAAACACTAAATCTCCTTTACTTCAATGCTTGGTAGATGTTTGAGGGAGTAAAGTGGCTATGATGACCTGTACATCCTCCTCTTTCCTCAATGAGTTTTGGGCACATGGTCAGTGTGTGAGAAATATTTGTAGGATTGTCAATGCCATCTATGACCACATAGGAATATAACATTTTTCTGTCAACTTTTATAAGTTACCCACTAAAAATAACAAATGTCAACCCCAAAACTCTTAATTTCCTTTTGGCAACTTTTGTCTTTGTACAAAAAAAAGTATGAAAATACAACACATACAGATAATATAAATGCAAAACAGAGAAGTTGTAAAACCTAACATTTGTAAGCACTACATGTTTAGGTACACTAATCTAGACTGTAGCCTTATGGAAAGAAACGAAACTCAAACCTCTATTGAGGCTTTGTCTACAACTACTGTAATCCTGATGCCAAGCATTTTTGGCTATTGGTATGGGGTGATAGCCCCAAGAGGTAATCAATCAATGTCTAAGCCCTAAACAAAGTCTCAATCTTCCTTTGACAGCAAGCTCTCTTTAGATTGCTATTGTGTTTTATCAATCACTTTTAAGAGCAACTTGACTAGGAATATGACCTTTCTGATCCCAAATTCACTGTATTCTGTCTAAAAGTTGGTACTGCTAATGTCAAAAGTGCAGAAAGACCTAGCGTGGGCCTAGAATGCACCAAACTTGACAAGCCTAAAGTAGGCACATAGCATAGGACAATAAAATTTGACTCTGTACTGAAAAAATGATGAGTTTTCCTCTGTAATGTGGGAGTGGAGCATTTTTATTGATTGTCACACAGAAATATGATGAGCTCTTGCTTACTCCTTAATTTCAGGAGAGGATATTTACTTCAAGCTCTTGCATCACCACAACTGTCAATACACATCAACACACTCTTCACCACATGAAGCTGGTCATTAAGAGTTTGTTACTTTCATCTCCTAAGGGGCTAAAATGTGGCCCCCTTGCTGTTAAAATATTTGCTCTTCATAGGTGGTGCAGCAGGTTCTAAGACACTACGTTTTTGTAAGGCCAGCTATTCAACCCTCCCAGAGTTTGGATAGGAACTATAATAACTGTACATTGTAGTTACTTACAGAGAGGACTATATTAAAGTGTTGCTTGGCATGGTAGTATAAAATCAATTTTTTATACATGAAACTATTAAATCTTTTAAAGGGGAAAAAATCTCTCTTGGGAATTTTGGACCAAAGTCTGCACCAAACATGGATTTAGGACTCAAATATATTGTTTTCTCTGTCTGTATATCCCCAAGTTGAGAAATTAGTATCAAAATTTATCCTGAAAGCAAAACTCTCTGTCTTCACAGATGATATGATTCTATACCTAGAAAATCCCAGGTCTACCTGTTTCATTTAGTTGTTATATCTTCTGTTTTTCTTAAAGCCATAACTTTCTTCTCTCTTTTTGTTTGTGCAATTATTTTTGTTGAAAGAATTGGTTATTTAGTCCTTTAGCATTTTCTACATTCTGTATTTTACTGATTGCAGAGCTGTGACTTTAATGTGTTCCTATAACCCTGTGATATAATCCATAGCTAATGATTATAACTTCTGTATTGTACCTTCCAATGAAAAGAGAATGACTACAGTATGAGGAATGCCCTCTCTCTTTTTTCAGATTTTTCCATCAAAACCTTTCACCTTCTGACAGACCTCAGAACACCTCCAACTTTGTTGCTGTGTCTTCCTGGATCAATCCTCACATTTGAGGTTCAGAAAACCTTCATAATTTTTTTTCTGTGTTGACAGCCTCAATTTTGATCAACAGTGCCATAAACACTCACCACCAGGAATATTCTCAGCCACCCCCAGGGGCGCAGAGAAAGTAACAGAATGTACTGTCTGGTAGACAGTCCCAGGAACTGGGTTTCTCGACCTGTCTGCTTCTCATTCTTCCTGAAGTTTCCAGCCACCTGGAATTGCCCTGCTCCATGGGCCCAAATGTCCCCTCACATCTCCCTCCCAGGGGAAAACACCAACTGGTTCTTACTTGGAATAAATTGGAGTGGGTCTACTCCAGAACTTTTTCAGCAGTTTTCTCCTAACGGGGATGTGAGGTTGTGGTTCTTTCCTTAATTGAATTCCATCTACTTTCTAATCTTTCTAGGAATATTCATAACTTGGGACCACTAAAAGTGCTTTCCTTTTTCAGGTTTTCCAGCACTGCTATGAGTTCATTTATTTAATACATTCTTCTTATCATAAATTTGGAGCAGGAGCAGGACACACCGTATGTTCTCAGGCTGCCCACTTAATCCAATCCCTAAGTGGGAATCACTGAATCCTCTTTTATAAAAACCTGCATATTCCCTGTAGCAACTAATAGATGACACTAAAGGCAAATGCAAGGTAAGTTGAAGTGTAAAATAATTAAGAACAATATGAGAATGCCTCAAGGATAATCAAACACAATAAGGGTATTTTTTAAAAATAAATTTTAAAAGGGAAGAGATGATTAGGAACTGAGGAATGCTGTGAATTGTGCAAAGGAAGGAGCACCTTGCCCCCTCTCTCCATTTGAGTCTTAGAATAGAAATGAGAGTACTCCAGAAAGAAGTTTAGTTATACCCAGGAATTTCAGGAATACTGGGGTAAGGAAGAGTGGGGAAGTTCCTATACATACTAAGCACAGGAGATAGATAGCAAAGAAACAAACTTAGGCAAAAGTGAGCTGGCCAGGAATGAGAGGGAATAGAAGGAAAATCGTGTAGGGATTTGTCTGAGTCAGTGTCTGCAAAAGCAAAAAAATTCACACACAGGCATGTAGAAAATAGGGGAAAGGAAGCTGTATAGGAGTCTGTTTGGAAGAGTTATAATTAGCTCCCAAATTCTTGGTGAGAACTTGATGTGTTATGCTTCAGCCTCTGTAGCTTGTCTCCAAGATACCAGTTTTTATGAAGACAAAATTTTCATGGTATGATGGAGAAAGGAAGTTAGCAGGAGATGTAGATGAGTGAGAACAGCCAGAAAAAAAGAGGTAGTTTAGGACAATAAAAAAGATAACTCTTACAATTATGAAGTGGTGAAGGAGGCCAGTTGAGAAGATAAATTTAGCAAATGCATCTTTCTTTCTTTCTTTTGTGTCAATTTTGAAGCTAGTGATTGGTGGAAGCCAAAAAGAAAAAGACAAAATTGAACCAAATCCTCTGACCTGCCAGAGAAAAATAAAAAGCACGCAGAAAAAGTGACAAGGGCTTAGATGACATGATAGCATCATAGAAAGGGTAGGGCATCAATAATTTTTTAAAAAACCATAAATTGAAATCAAGACTGCAACACTTACTAATAGTGTAGCCTTGGGCAAGTCCATCAAGCCATTAGATCCTTGTATTCCTCATATGTAAAATATAGATAACAGCATATGGGGTAATTCTTTGGTAGTTAGTGAAATGATACCCATGGGGACTGTTTAGACTGTGATGTGTTATATGACTTCACAATAACACTAGAAAAATTAATAATCTTCGGAAGATGCATGGGACCAACACTAATGACTATTCAGCAGTCTTTGAAACAATTAATAAAGAAAAATAATCACTGGGTATGGTGGCTCATGCCTATAATCCCAGCACTTTAGGAGGCCGAGGCAGGAGGAATACTTCAGCCCAAGAGTTCAAGACTGCCTCCATTGCACTCCAGCCTGGGTGACAGAGATCCTGTCTCAAATAAGTAAATAAACAAACAAACAAACAAATAAATAAATAGAAGAAAAGAAAAAAGAAAATGAATCCAGCATTTATCACAACTTTTCTTTTACGTTTCTTTTTTTCTTTCTTTCTTTCTTTTTTTTTTTTTTTTTTTTTGAGACAGTGTTTCACTGTTGTTACCCAGGCTAGAGTTTAATGATGCGATCTTGGCTCACCGCAACCTCCACCTCCCAGGTGCAAGTGATTCTCCTGCCTCAGCCTCCCGAGTAGCTGGGATTACAGGCATGCACCACCACACCTGGCTAATTTTTGTATTTTCACTAGAGATGGGGTTTTGCCATGTTGGTCAGGCTGGTCTCAAGCTCCTGACCTCAGGTGATCCACCCGCCTGGGCCTCCCAAAGTGCTAGGATTACAGGAATGAGCCACTGCGCCCGGCCAGTAATTTCCTGAGGATTTCACAAGCAAGATGGGCAATGGTAAGAACAGGATGAGAGGTAAAGATATGCTAAGATTCTTAACTAATTTAAAG